GTGTCGGGCTCATATATATATACGTAGAAGTTGTTGTAATATATTCCATTTTTTGCATTATAGTACATTCCCGTATTTTCCATTACACCATAGTGTGTTATGACATGTTACGTGTTGCTATGCTGAACTCATAACATATTATCATAGTTTTATGTCAAAGAGAGCCTTTCACACAGTACACATCACATATTACACATGTGTACTCCATGCTTGATGTTGTACATGATATATAGCAGATGATGTATCATGTGTTCTACGTTACGTTGTATATACTATACATTATCTATGAAATATGATAGATGATGTATGCTCTATTGCGTAGTATCGCCTATGATACATGATACATCATGTATCGTGTGTCGCTATTCAAGATGCGTCAGCATACACAATCCACCAAATATAATAGTACGTTACAGAGATGTTTTATTCACCATAACATATGACAAAAATTACACTTGATACAATATACGTTATATACAACAGTGAGTATATTGTATCATGTTTTCTGCAAACTAAAGAAGTTTTTGTAGTAAATTCTGCATTCAACGATGTCATACTGCATGTAGTACATATGTATGTGTGTATACTTATGTATGCTATTGTATATTCTGTATGTTTTATAAACAATATGTTTTTTCATAGTGCCATATATTGTGAGTTGTATCTTATATACCGTGCATTTTTCGCATAACAGAAAACATCACATAAATAAATATATATATATATATACTCTCTCTCTCTCTCTCGCTCCATATATATATATACATATATATATATAATGTAAAGTATATTATGCCTAATACATGTTTACACTATACATTATATGGTTCATATTGCGGTTCTATTTATCAACTTGTATTTTGTTTATTGCATATGGCCTATTATATATTACATGTTTGATGTTATAGGTTCTTAAGTGTAGATATACGTTTGTTGTGCTATATATATATACATATTTATATACATATACACATACATATATATATATATATATGTTGTCATCACACATTACATTGTTTGTGCAAATCTGCTGTACATGCGAAGGTCTTGCATTCCATGCTCAGCTGATTTCGCAGCCATTTCGCAAAACCAACGGCTTGTGCTTGGTGACACGTTGAAATACAAACCTCACTTGCTTGGCATCTCTTGATTGATGCTTGAACCAAACCTCCTTGGAAACTTGACTTGCGGCATGTTTCGCTTCAACCTTGAACCAACTTGATACCACTTTTTGCGGATGTGAGTCGAGTTTTGACTTTTTCAAAAGATGTGAGGCTTGTCTCATATCGCAAGCCGTTCCAGATCTGAAATGTAGAAGCCATACTTGCCGATGCCAATCTTTTTGCGGAAAGTGCAGGGGGGCCGACCATTCACTCTGACTGTCGGCCCAACGAAGAGGGTCGGAGTGCAGTGCTGATATCGATGTGGACGCACATCGACGTACCTGCCAAATTTTCAATTGACGATTTCCTTTATCTATTAAGTGTCGGCAGGATGTCAAGATTCCCTACGGCTGTGTACATCAGATAGAGAGTTGAGCAAGAGGTCACGCAGCGATTTCAGGGAGTGCAGACGACGGCACCGCTGCCCCCACCTCCACCGTCTCCCCCAAGGCCAGCGCTAATCACACTCAGTGACGGCAATATGTCAATTCAGGTGCGTGATCAAATGATGACGGAGCGAGTTGCGCAGGCTGTATTTGGTCAGACCATGTAACCAAGGGATGGGTCAAGGTCCCCACGAAGACCTCATGTCATCTCTGCTCCTGTTCAGGTTCCAGTTTTACAGGATGGTTCACCTCCAGGAACCTGGGAGCTTCCGTGGTCGTGCCTTCAGGTACCGAGCATGGCACAGTTTGCTATAGGTTGCATTCGGACTGCCCAGCTCCATGTGGTGACTCCTAGATCTTGCACACCGGTTCATGCCAGAAGCCTTTACTCTTCCTTCAATTACGGGATTGGAGGTACATGATTTCCCATGGAAAGACCTGAAGCAAGAGCATTGGAATGTGCTTGAAAGGATCCTCATGCAGATTCCTCCAAAGCTCGTGCGTGACAGCTGCAGACTGCGAACAGCAGCTGAGGCGTGGGGCAACATATTGCCGCATGCTGATTTCGAATTTCCGCCAGATGAGTCTGCAGTAAACAAGTGGTTTGCCGCACTGGTGCAAGCCGCAAACCATCAGTCTCAAATGAGTGTGGTGCCATCCCAAGAAGCCTATTGCCAACTTTGGCACCTGGCGAAAGCTCTAGCCGCTGCCAAGAAGGTGTCGCGGCCTTCTGCCAGCAGTTCTGTTATATGCTATTGGCTGATACGAGATGGGGCTGTGAAGGGCATTGTGCTCATCCTGCGACAGTCTTGTCCTATCAGGCAGTATTTGAGGCTCCGTTTGCGCATAATACAAATGCGCATGAGCATCAATCCTTACGGAGGCCAAAATACGTCCTAGTTGGACTGGCAATGATGATCTCCCCAGTATGGGGTTTTACGCCAGGCTGAAGTTTCCTGTTGCTAACATGATAGTGCCAAGCAATGACCGGGAAGGCCGACTGGCCCTTGAAGAATCATTGCTTGCAGCAAAGAAATTCGGAGGATACAATAGCTCAAGGCCAGTATGCGCCTTCGGGTGGTGTATTGCCGTCAAAGCTCTCACCGAAAGGTGGCCGGGGGCGGGATGCAGATCGATCGAGTAACATCCCATTTTGCAGATGTTGCTCATGGAGCTGACAACCGTTGGCTGATTCGAAGCTCTCAAGCGATTCTGAGTGGGGTAGCCTCTTTCTGGTAAGGTTTTTGTACCGTCAATGTGCGAAGACTTGATTGCTGCACCCGCAAGAGCAAACATGCTGTCTGAACGTTCTTCATTTCTGGAGCGACGGGTTTGATTTGTGTGGTCGCTGAGCTGCACTTTGCAGGTGGTTTCATGAGGTTGATGCGACCGACAGGAGAGCGCCATTTTGTTACGGATGCGCTTTTGCTAGACAGATCCCATCCTGCTGCCAAGTGGTTTTGTCGAGCATCGTGTTTGATGCCACCAACCAGAGAGCGCCATTTTGTTACGGACAGTGTTTCATGAGGCAAATCCCAGAGAAGTTTCGTTGAGCATTGTGGTTGACTGCTGCCACTGACGTTTCATTGAGCATTGTAATTGAAGCAACATACCAGAGAGCGCCAGTTTGTTACTGACAGTCTTTTGCGAGGCAGTTCTCAGTTTGTTTTCAACGTTTTCCGGTAGATGTTTTGCATTGCAACATGTTTTTGGAAGGAAGCCGGAGCGCATGGCTCGCAAATCTTTTTCTGGAAGGATGCTGAGGTTTGCTGCAATCATTTGTCTACAGTGCTGGGTCACGCATGCTGTCATGAAAAGTTTGGATGAATTGAATAAGTGCCGCTGTCCAGTTCGAGTGGGAAAGTTTTGATGTGCTGTGAACCACTTCATGTTTTTGCAGTTCTTGACGGTTGTTGTGTTTGCACATCTGCATGACTTGTTTGTCGCCGCTTCTTTCACTTGGCTTGTGCCTGACAATGTTCAGCATCTAAAAGTGCAGTCTCGTGCAACCGACTCTAGTCCAGTCGTTTTTCGGGGTTCTTGACGGGTTTGTGGTTTCTGTTGTTTTTGGGTCGAGTTGCCTGGGCGGCTTTGTTGGCTTGCTTCGTTGGAGTGGTCAGTTTCACATTCACATGCCAGCATCTTCAACTTGCAAGCTCCAGTGCGATTGTGGACGCTGGTATCAGGGCAAGAACTCCAAAACTCTTCGGGTCTTACTGCACCGCTGTAAGCAAAAGCATGTTTCGGATGAGATGATTTCCTTTCCACAGCGCACCATACAGGCATCCAACCTCTTGTGGGTTGTTTTGTCTCATCGATCTGAGAGACACAACGCTCGAATTTTACGCAGACAGCTGCTGGAAGCCGGAGTGCACAAGAAACTCCTGTTAGTCAAAGATGGCTTTCAGCATGGCAAGATATGTGATGGTGGGCGCTCGTTGAAATACAACGAGGTGGTTATGCATAACTTCTTTCACCGGTGGATTCCAGCTGTTGGTTATTTTCTGAACCAGACGTCTCGGACCTTTTTGGGGTTGTTTACATCGAATGCACAGCGAGGTGTCAGTTTCAACGCGTAGCTGCTCCCTGAGATCAACAGGTTTCCTTCTCGACCGTTGAAATGGCTGGGGTACCGCAAGTTCCATCGGGCTAAGCCGGAAAGGAACAAGCATCCCAACCCGGTTTACGAAGGCAGCAAGTTGCTGGTTTTTACTGGATCTTCATTGCCGCAGGTGCGCGGGCTGTACATGAAGACGAAGAGGTACTCACATCTGGACCTTTTCTTGTGCAGATCTCTGAAGCCAACCTCCTTTCATGCTCTTTCGACGTCCGTTACTTCTTCCTGCAAGTTTTTGTCCATTTGTGGGGGGTCGGAAAAAGGGCCCATTGTCAGAGACAATGAGGCACCGGGTTCCCGACCCATGAAGCGGCGTAAACTAAAGTAAAGAAAAAAAGTCCGTCGCAACAGAGCTACCGCTGTCGTCATGCTGCGGATGTGACAAACATTGGTTGTGACGCTTGAACCCCTCTTGTGAGGGGCGTTTGTGCAAATCTGCTGTACATGCGAAGGTCTTGGCTTAGCAGATTTCGCAGCCATTTCGCAAAACCAACGGCTTGTGCTTGGTGACACGTTGAAATACAAACCTCACTTGCTTGGCATCTCTTGATTGATGCTTGAACCAAACCTCCTTGGAAACTTGACTTGCGGCATGTTTGCTTCAACCTTGAACCAACTTGATACCACTTTTTGCGGATGTGAGTCGAGTTTTGACTTTTTCAAAAGATGTGAGGCTTGTCTCATATCGCAACCCGTTCCAGATCTGAAATGTAGAAACCATACTTGCCGATGCCAATCTTTTTGCGGAAAGTGCAGGGGGGCCGACCACTCACTCTGACTGTCGGCCCAACGAAGAGGGTCGGAGTGCAGTGTTGATATCGATGTGGACGCACATCGACGTACCTGCCAAGTTTTCAATTGACGATTTCCTTTATCTATTAAGTGTCGGCAGGATGTCAAGATTCCGTGCGATTTTTGATTCGCTGGAGGATGCTACATGAGCCGTTGCCAAACCAGAAGAGCGCCATTTTATTACGGCAGTCTTGGCAGGTCTTTGGTATATCTGGCATGATTTTATTGCATGTATGAAACGCGATCAGTTTTGCATGGCTGGTTTGTTGATATGGAACCAAGTTTCCATCTTGGCCAGAGGAAAGGAAATCAGGATACGCGGCCCACTTCATCATTGGCTGGTCTCGCTGACAGACATGTCTTTGCTCATTGTGACATTCGATTTCATTTTGTACTATACTATACGTCGTTTTAGTTCTCCATTATATTCTGATATGATCTTATATGATATTTTTATCATATCATACTGGAATATATCTTACTATGCTACACCATCCAATACAACGCTAGTCTATTGTAGTCTATATTACACTGTACCATATGAGGTGACATTATGGCGATGTATTGCAGTCTGTGGCATAATTTCATATTATGCAGTTTCCTATTTCATATTTACACACAGAACGTATATATGGTTATAGGTTATGTGTTAGTATACAAGAAGCACTGGCGTTAAGTGGAGGCCCGGTCTTCAAGCAGCCCTCTCGGTTCTCCCACTTCGACCCCACCTTCGCCATCACTGCAGGCGGCGTAAGAAGCGCGGAGTCTCGATCTCGTCCACCGAGACCAAGGACGTGCTTCGGGGGGCCGGTTTTGCGGACCCAAAGTTGCGTGTTGGGAGCATCCCAGGCAAGTTGGATGAGGCATTTGGGTTCTAGGCCTCCAGGTGTGTCGGCCGGATGCTAACATGAATGACTGTGACTCCAGGCCAAGGGCTTCGTAGTTGCAGGTCGAGGTCAATCCTAAGCTTGCAGACAGAGTTGCTGTGGGACTGCTGACATGTGGCTGCTCCAGCATTCAACATTGACAATCCCCCCAGCAACTCAGAATCCCTGCGCCCTAGATCCAGACCCCAATCCCCAAATCTGCACCATGTGTGAAACTCCAGGACACGCGGCCTTCCTCTGTGGCCACGGTTCTGGAGGAGCCGAAGGCGCTGATGCTGTCGTTCTTGTTGTTGCTGTTGCTGCCGCTGCCGCTGCTGCTGCTGTTGTTGCTTCTGCTGCTGTCGTCGTTGTTGTTGTTGTTGTTGCTGTTGCTGCTGTCGTTGCTTCTGCTGTTGTTGTTGTTGTTGTTGTTGGGGGCGGTTGCAGTTGGGGTTAGGGTTAGGGTTGCGGTCGGAGTTGTCAGATGCACCGGAGAGTGCTGACATTAATTAATATTACATACTGTACATCAGGAGAGCATCTTCAATACCTGTACGTGATCTGCAAAGTTACCGCAGCAGTTGAACTCAGGTTAGTGCCGTCAGTATTCTGCTTCTATGAACGCGGTTCCCCGTGCATGCAGGAGACGCTGCCAGATCTCGAGACCCGAAAGCCGAAGCCCCGAAAGGCCAGCGCAAAGTACAAGGATTGTTGGGCTGATGGGTGGCGGTGGATGAGTGAGTCTGAGTGAGGTAATGGTTTCAGGGCCGAGAGCATGTGGTGAGCGCCAGAAGGTTGAAGTCATATCAGCGCTGGTGTGCCCAGGGGCCAGCTGACGTCAGCGCTTCCCCACGGGGTGTGCAGCTGCCTCACATCTGAGGGAGAGCAGCCAATCTCTTCGTTAGCTCTGGTTCCGACCCAGCTCTATGATGGATTTTGACCGATGCACAGCCCCAACAGAACTGGCATCGCTGGGCGGAGCTGGACATGTGGGGTACTGTTCTGCCTTAGGGGATGAACGCAAAAACTGTGGCTCACCTCCTCGAGGGTTTTGCAGTGTGAAATCGAATGAAGACCATTCGCCCCGACATCCATGGGTGCAGCGGGCTTGCTCATACAGTCTTTTGACTTGTTTCCTCTCCTACTGTGATAGCCATCCGTGCAGTCGCTGTCAGCTCCCATGAATCTATGTATAAACCAGTCTTCCTGCCAATTTCCAAGTTCTTGTGCGGAGACACCGGCCTGCGTCTGATAAAACTTAGATTCCAAAGTGGCATATTATTCGCAGTCTTGCTACCACTACCAGGCGCTGAAAGGATTCCCGTGGCGCTCTGCAAACGCAGACCAGCCGTCACGGAGGGTTGAGCAGTTTTCAGGCTGCTCTTCTCCGTCCGACCGTCATTACGAGTTCTGCTGATGGTTGCAGAATGTGTACATTTTGCTACCCATCACTAGCTAGCCTCCTTTCATGACCGCAGAACTGCTTGACCGCAGAACGGGATGTTTGCCCAGCCTAGCTGGATGAAGGAATCCACCGATCTAAGTGATCTGGTTATTCCAGGGCTGTCCCCTGTACAGAGTTCCCAGAGACATTGCAAAGGCCGAGGCAGTTCCGAGCCCATCACCCCTCCAGCCCGGCAAAAGGAGGTATGCTCCGGAGTAGCACTGCGTGACATATCAACTATCAACCCTACTGCCTTGTAGCTCAAGCTTTCAGGCCCTTTTTGAGGAGGTTGGGATATTTGGTAGACAACATATTAGTATACAGTGTAACATATAATGATATTACGCACAACGCATATGCATTTGTATATATATATATATCTATATCTTTATGGGTAGTTCTCTAAATCAGGGACCCTGTTAGGGGTCGTTTTATCAGGGCTCGGTCATGCCAGGCTGGGAGAGCGTACAGCATTGCCTACACAGATACTTTATCCGTCAAGCTCCTGCCCGGAAGACTCCAATCCCGACGAAGAACCGGTTTTGCTTTCGCTTGCAGGTGGTTGTCCGTCCTGTCATTGGCTGTGCTGGCGTCGACCGTGGCCTTTGCACTGCCATCAGAGCCTCCACAAGATGTGGCTAAGGTTAGCAGGCTGGGCTTTGCAATGCTTGGGCCGTGAGCCAGTGCAAGACGACAAAGACGAGTAGGAATAAGTCGGAACAGTGAGCCGCGCTGCCGTGGAGTGCAGGCCGATGTCGGTGAGGGAGGCGACGGACCTCTCGGGCAAAATCTACAACATGGAGGACTCCCAGGCCTGCGGTGGAGAGCCGACGAAGAGTTTCATATTATCATACATGTGATGTATAATATAAAATGTATATTCTTAGTAGTGGTTGTTGTGACGAATACGGTCAAGGCTGACATCAAAACCCCACGCAGATGCGTATGCATTGCCGCCTTATTTGATATCCGGCCTGGAAGCGCTGCATCGTTCATGCACGAAGCTGCGAGGAAAAGCCTTAGAGGAGCCTCACCCCGTGTTGCAGGCTCTGGATTTCCTGGAGCGCTGGTTCCAGGGCCAGCAGGCGCGCGTGAATGCTGACAGGAGGTGCTTGCAAGCGCGGTGCTGCAACTCCACGACTGAGACTCTAGGCAAGTGAAGACTGAAGCTCAGCACAAGAAGGGCTTCTTCAAGTACGGTTTCAGGGAGTCTTGGAGTGTAATGACCCTGGCAGGACCTGGGTGGTCTAAGGCGGATGCCTCCCAGGGTCCGGGAGAGCCTGCGGTGAGCCCTGCCGGTTTGCGGTTAGGGTTCTCTGTAGCTTCGGATGATCACAGATAGATAAAACCCTAAGCCCCAAGCTGGTGGATGCATCCTTGGTTCTGCCAACATGCATTCCTGCCGACCTTAGGCGAAAGCTGGTGGATGCAGGGTCCCAGCTGGGGACTATGAGTGAAGGAAAGAGGGCCCGATGCCCTAAACCCTTACCCTAAACCCTAAACCCTAAACCCTAAACCGTTCCATCTCCATCCGTGCGTGTCCGTCGACTTGCCAGGATGGTGTTGAACACGATCATCAAGGCTTCACGGTTCGCTGCAAGGGTTTATAGGGTTCAGGGTTTATAGGGTTTAGGGTTTAGGGGTTTGGGGGTTTAGGGTTTAGGGTTCAGGGGTTTACAGTTTAGGGGTTCATGACTGTGGTGCGTCCTGCTTTGTGGCATGTCGTGTCAAGGATTCCAGTCTGGGGCTTTGTTGGGGTCTCTCAGGGTATTATTATTATTGCTACTATTACTATCATCATTATTATTAATTATTATTAACTATTATTGGTATTATTGTTATTATCACTATTATAGTCTGTTTCGAAGTTTGGATTCCAGTCGCGAACTTATGGGTCACGCAGCCTGGGAGGCGGCTGGGAGCGAAGGCAAGTTGTCCCAGAGTTACACCTGGTGCGCCCATGGCCGGTTTAGGGTTTAGGGTTTAGTGTAGGGGCCTAAATTAATTGGGACGTTGTTTGGAGGTTTGGTACTTGTGAGTGGGATCACAAAACGGTGTGTCAGTGTGGTTCTGAGATGTTTTGCCTTTGAGGTCTCCGAATGACGGCGATCACAGGCCCACGAAGTCCAAGACAAGATCTGAAAGCGAGGTTTCGCCTGCTAGAGCAAGCAAAAGACTGAAGATTTTCTGAAACATTGGTGGTACCGATTTACCTGTCACATAGCCAGCTGCTTTCATCTTCTGCTTTTTACTTTTATGGCAGTGAGAAGCTGCAGTTGGTGCCAGTAGCTCCGGCAACCCAAAGCGCTATATTCCAGTGTGCCATCCTCCAGTTGAAGGGCTTCGGGCTCTTTGAGGTATCAGCGGATGCGTGAAGCGAAGATCGACACGAACCCCCGGTCCGGAGCTCATGCCAAGGGTCTAGACTTGCAGCATGGCTCCTTCCTTCTGGTTCTTCCTGTCACCTCTATGCAAGGACGGTCTGAAATGGCAGGTCATTTCATGTGTAAGCGGAATAACGTCGTAATGCACATGCCGGAGGGTTGCAGCGAGATGAAAGTCTGTGGTTTCCACAAAGGAGGATTGGTGTTGCCGCCTCTTCTTCAACAGCCTGCTCCTAAATCAAATTTCCTGAGTAGGCGAAGGCAGGTCGGGTTTCTCTTCAGTTGGTCCTGGCCACCCATGAACCGCCAAAGGTAGCCTCAACCCTGAACTGTCAATTCCAGGACCTTCGGAAAGCTGGTTACAGCAGCCGCGCAAGCTGGACTCGCCGATTCCCTAGTAGTGGATCTTGTCCTGAGATTTGTAGGCTTCTGGGTTGTTGCTGTATCAAGCTTGATGTCTTCACTTTCTTTGGTCCAAACGGCTCATTGCACTCCGTGGTCAAGCTGTGATTCAATCGGGCGCAGTCGGCAAAAACAACAGTTTCACGAACCAGAAGCGGTCTCGAGGTCTCAAGCTAAATCTATCAGTGTTGAAGAGAGCAGCGCAAGGATCCTGCTTGGAGACTGTTGGGTAGTCCAGAAAAGGGCTGCAATTTCTGTATTTCCGGTTGTACCTGACGGGAGGTGCAAGAGCCCTGCTTGTGGTTGTACAACACTCCATGAACCTCGGAGTGTGAGACTTGGACAGAGACAGTCTAAGATAGGGTAAACGTGAACTGTTCTATGGGGGAGACTTGTAGCAAAACTACTTCCATGACGGCGCTGATTGCAAAAATCGACACGCTAGTCATCCCAGCCAGATACAGCGGCAGTGGATGGAATCTTCGCAATCGTATACAGTAAACTGTTGTGCAGTGTGGGAGTGATTACCGTAGCACCAAAGTATCAATGTTGCAAGAAAGTTGGACTGCTAAAATTCGTGCAGGATTGTACTGTACTTATGGCGCACGAGGCCTTCATGGCAGTGTCCGTGTACCGCGGCGGTTGTCGCAGTAGTGCCCCATCGACGTCTTGAGCCCAAGACCCGATTCAGGTGGAGGATGCGGAGCTCTGGCTGGACTCGATGGTAGAAGAGGTGCCTCTACACACTTCCCGGTTGCTCAACACCTTCTATTGAATGTCTTGTAGTAGTTTGCTGAGCACAGAATGAAAGTGTTGGGAAGTCACAGATACGTTTGTACGATAAGGCGACGCTTCGTAACTTAGAGCAGGTATATGTATGCAGTACTTGCCTGTTACAATAGTTATTCATGTCATTTTGAGGGAACAACTTGTACGGTTACATACACACATGCATATGCATATATGTATATATACACACACAAACCCGTATACCCACGTTTACAAATAAACGTACATATGTATATAGTTTGCACATATATATATATATGTACACACATAGGTGTATACATGCTTTATACATGTGTATGCATATATATATATATACCCATACCTTTACGTATATATATATATATATATATACTTACCTTAACGTATCATGTCATATCATATGTGCGCATACATATGTATGTTGTATATGTCAAAATAAGTAAATCGATACATGGAGAAACAAAAGAGTATATCGACAGTTAGATAGACAAGCACCTAGCGTTATGTAAAAAGTACATCAACACGAGTGAACAAGTAAATGATTAAAAATAAATGAGTATGTATGTATGTATGTATGTATGTATGTATGTATGTATGCATGTACGTACGTACGTGCGTGAGTATGTATGTATGCATGTATGCATGTATGTATGTATGTATGTATGCATGTATGTGCAGCATGTACAGATACCTACATACAAACAAACAAATAGTTAAAAAACCAACCACACACACATATATATATATATATGTATATATATATATGTATGTATATGTATACGTATATTATGTAATATACATGTATATGTATATTTTCTGGCATATATCTATCTCTGTCTCTCTAGCTCCAGCTCTAGCTCTAGCTCTAACTCTGTCTCAGACACCCGTACTTCAGGGCTTCAAGCCGGATCTGGTGACCATTTCTTCGGTCATCACGGCATGCTGCGAGGCGGAGAGGGGGCTGTCCGCGTTGCAGCATCTTTTGGGTTTTGCGGGGATGATCTTGGGAGTTTTGGGGTTCAAGCTCATGGGATTGAGCTTTAGGCAGGCCGGGGGGGTTCGATGCAAGTTGCCCTGTCCTCTGGACCCTAACACTGCAGGCGCAGCCTCAACTTGGCCTTAGCCTTGCACACTGCCATGACTGGTGTAGGCCAAAGAGCCTTTGCGCGCCGAGCGGTGGTTCCAGCAGCTCCTGCAGCAGGGGCTGACACCGGACCTGCCAGGGCCCCCAATGACTGCAGGGTTTAGACGGCGAAGTAGTTTGTTATCGTGAGAAGTTTCTGGCCTCTTCCAAGGATCGCCTACAACAGCATGATCGATGCACATGCTGAAGCGGGAGATGGTGAGAAAGCAGCAGCATGGCTCCAGAAGGCAGTGGACGCAGGCCACACCCAGGAGTAGGAGTAGGAAGCGGTGATGGTAGCAGCATGACAGCTGCAGCTTCTCCTGTCACACCATGTGCACAGTCGTGCTGGAAGCTCTTCTAGTAGTTCTTCAAGGCCTAAACGTAGCAGCCCGAAGCCGTCGCCAGGAATTGATGTCAGCACGGCTTGCTACAATGCCGCTCGAACACGTTTGCTTTTGCTTCGCCGCCCTGAGCCCTCCAAAGTCTCCCAAGATCGCAAGGTTGTCAGGGAAGGGTTTAGGGTTTAGGGTTTAGGGTGCGGGTTCCATGGTCTCAGCTTCGTGTACATTGTTGGTGAGCAGAGACCTCCGTTTTGGGTTGGACCGCCGTCTTCTGCGTGGCTTCCTGGGCACCTGCGCCCCTGTTAGGATCCAGTCGTGGCTGGCAGAGTCTTCCCAAGCAGCCTGTTGTGGTTGTTTCAACGTTCAGGCTTGGGTGCTGAAGCGTAGCTGGTTCCAAAGCAACTAGCGGCAACTAGCGAGATACACCATACACCCCCCCATGACAAGGCTGACCTCCTGCGCAATCAGTAACGGAGCCCCGCTTGTTCCACGGCCAGGCTGTGATCAAGGCTTACTGCCGCCAGGGCGATCTGGAGGCGATCCATGTCAACAGGAAGTTCAAAGTGGGCTTTTGCGTTGGGCTGTGTTGCCGGTGGGTTTAGTGTTTATGATTTCGAGACTGTTCTGTGACCTCGCCTCTTGCAGGGTTCGAACTCCGGCTCAGCCTTTGCACCAATAACTAACAAAGCTTGTCTGATGGCATAGTTCTCTACCTTGAAGGGCACCGTAGGCGAGGATCCAGTTTAGGCTCAGGCCCTCAGGCCCTGAACCCTGAAACACGGGAACTTGAAGCCCTACCCCACGCCCGTAGGCCTTAAACCCGCAATTCCGATCAACCTCAAAACCCTGAAGCTTTCAACCTTGACCCTAAACCCGAAACCCTAAACCCTAAAGCCTAAGCCTTTCAACCTTGGCCCTAAACCCTAAACCCTAAACCGCAAAGGGTGCCAATGGGTGGCTGGAGAAAGCCAAGGCCCGGCTGCGCAGTTACCTTCGTGGCTTCGGCTTTCTGAGGATCTTGGAACACGATGTTCAAGGTTGCACCATCCGAAGCCCTAAACCCAAGACCCTACGCCTGCCGGCAGTTTTTGGACATCCATCGAACCCTAAACCCTAAACCGTAAACCCTAAACCCTAAACCTTAAACCCTAAACCCTAAAACCCTAAACCCTAAACCCTACACCCTAAACCCTAAACCCTAACATGGCCCAGTTTAGGCTGCTGAGCCAGGCAGCCGGGCGTGGTCTCGACATCATGTCGTACAACACGGCCCAGATCCCAGCTTGTACTGTTGAAATGACGAGATGTTGTAGTGATAATTATGACAAGTTAATACTACTGTTGATGGACAAAATTCTGCATGACCCAAATATAGTATAGTACCACAAATCCCATAGTTTAGGTATATAAGGTCATGCAGGATTCTGTCCATCAACCGTAGGATTGGGGGGACGTTACTTCGAGCATCCCAGTTCTTTTTGGGCCCTTATCATGCGGAGCCTACCCTATTTGTAAGGTTATGTTAGGGCTGTTAGGGCCCTTTGTTGCCTGAAGAAAGGAACAAATATCAGCGGAGGGCTTCACACTCATAGGTTCGGGTCGTGATGGTGATGCAGACCAGTTCTGACACGAAAGGGCCGCGAACTCCAATTTCGGCCAGCCACGAGGAGGGGCCCAAAACACTATCCACAGTTTCAACGTTCCAGCTGCAGAGGTCCTGAACTACTTCGCCAAGGAGGGCGACCTGAAGAAAGCACAGGCCCGATCGGTCGGGCCACACACTGCAGGTTTTCGGTCGTTGAGACTTCAGTATCTCACTGCTTCCTTGGATAGTTGGGGGGTCGGAGACAAGTGCTGTTTGCATGGCTGCTGCCTTTGTTCTTCAGGCCCGAAGCCCTAAGCCCCCAAGCCTGAGGCTCCATGTACCGACATAGTATACCTAGGCCTTAAAGTCCCTACCAAGCGAACCCTAACATAGAACCCCATAGAATTCCTAGCCATCCCTCTCGAGGACTGGTTCGGCAAGCTGAAGGCCTCTGGCCTGCAGTTGGACCAGGCCCCATCTGTCTATCTGTCTATCTGTTGATCGATCTATCTATCTGTCTGTCTATCTGTCTATCTGTCTTTCGGTGTATGCATCTCTCTGTCTATCTCTCTATCTATCTATCTATCTATCTGTCTGTCTGTCTGTCTGTCTGTCTGTCTGTCTGTCTGTCTGTCTGTCTGTCTGTCTGTCTATCTATGCATGTCTATGTATACGTATATGTATATCTCCATGTATACTTATGTACATGTAGATGCAGATGTAGATGGATAGATAGGGTATGCATGCGTGTCGGTCTCTCATGTATCCCCGCTCCCTTAGAGCTGGGAGCCAATGCTATGCTGCAAAAGTCGGCGTGCCTTTCCTTGCGGCCTTGAGGTTGCCTACAGGGCCTACAGAGATTTAGAAGCCGACAGTGCGCATGGCGCAGCATCCGGCAGGTGTCTTTCAACACCATGATCAAAGCTGCTGTTGCGGCCGACAAGCTGCCGATCAGACATGCTTCGCCTGCTTCGCATTGCAAATCCTCGGGGACGACGCAGGCTCTCTGAAGCACCGGCCAGGCCACAGACCGAGGAGTACCTCCAGGAGATGCTCTCGAACAGAATGCAGCCAACAGCTGCGACGTACGTGAGTCTTGTGCGCGGCTTAGCAGCTTCAGGCAGTTGCAGTATCAAGGGAGCGTTTCAAGCATGACAACGGCTGACCCGAATTCCGACAAAGGGTCCGAGCCAGATTCAGGCGGGAGTCATCTGTCTTAGTGCAGCTTACAGTCACCACTTGGGTGCTGAGTCGTGTGTGCACAGCGAGCACGAGTTGCGATTTCGAAAGTGTGTGAAGTGCCGGTGATCCAATTCTTGCTTTTGCTTCATCCGGCAACTTCCAATCGTGGTTTGATCGCTTATACGGCTGCGGCGGATTCTCGAGCATGTGAGATTTCCGAACTTTCATGGACCAGAGGGTGCAACTGGCCGCATCTGCACAAGGTCTCTGCCTATGCCGACCAGGGTGATCTGGAAACGGCACAGCTGTGGCACGACAAGGCCTTGCGACCTGGAGCATAGTCTCCAGTTTCCCACGGAGCCCGGGTCAAACTCGCAGCTCTACAGCCCGAAGAATCAACTTCCAGCAGTCCTCAGCACCCAGGGGCCCTACGATTCAACCCCCAGCCCCCGAGCTCGAAACTTCGGAGGCCGCAAGCGCCAACAAGACGAACAAGCAGATTGATACGGCGCTTGCAAAGGCGCACGTGAAAGTGCGGTGCCCAGGGGCATCGGCACTTGGGGTTGGCTGGCGGCCATTCGTTTTCGTTCCGAGTATATAGTGCACGTGTGCCTGCCTGGTCTCTCGGTCTGTCTTCGTGTTTGCTTCTGTCTATCCGGCTTTGAGTTTTCTCGTGGGTTTGGCAGCGCTCTTTTCGGGTATCTGTCCGATGAGGTGTTCACATACAGTGGCCGAGGCCCTGCGTTCAGATTGTTTCGGCTTGCCAGCGGCCCATCTCGCACCTCTGTGCCTCAGATTTGCCCGGACTCAGCAATGGCTTCCGTGAAGAGCATGA